TTGTTGGGGACCCCCGAGTGACCGCCGCCTCCAGGAAAGGAGCAGTCTTCAGGGCCCCAGCCTCGTTCCCCTCCTCCTCGTCCTCCTCATTGTCCTCCTCCTCCTCCTCCTCCTCACTCATCTCCTCACTCCGCACTCCTAACTCCTCCCTCCTCTCTCCTCCCTCCTCCCCCATTCCCTGGTCTTGACCTCTTGAGCCGCGCACTGAGCCATTCATACAGTCGAGCATCTGCTTAAGAAGCTTCCTCCCGAGAAGCTGGGCCAGCGTTTCGCAGCCACTCTGCCGGAAAGCTGGCCTAGTCTCCTGAGCACGCTCGCCCCATCCAGCGTCAAGAACAGAAGCTGGCCAAGGCTCGTTTTGAACCATGCTTTAGCACGTGGGCCCCTCAAGAGCAGACGCTGGCCCAGGCTTGCGTTAAGGAGTGCCTGGGAAGCTGGCCCAGTTTCTTGAGCACGTTCGCCCCGCCAGCGTCAAACACATAAGTTGGCCCAGGGCTGGTTTAGGAGTGTCGGGGAAGCTGACCCAGATTCCTTCAACTATGCTTGTCTGGATCACACGCGTGGAGTCCAAAACCCAGATAGCCCACTTTCACCACTTTCAACACGCGTGGGGCGCCACGAGACCTTTCATCACTTCATCAAAAAAGCCTTGGAAGCTCCTGGAAGGAGCCTCCGAAGGAGCTTCTGGAGAGCTTCTGGGCACATGTACTGGGAATCGCTCAGACAGGGCCTTTCGGGACAGGCCGCAACTTCACAGGAGTTGCTGCGAGGATCCCTGCCGGAAGCTGGAACGAGCTCCAGGGCAACCCTGCGGCTCCAGCTTCTAATCTGAGGTCCTCTTGGCGCTCCACGAGCCATCCAGGAATGTTTGGCCGTACAGGCGGATGTGAATGTTCCAGGGCTCCTGGCCCTTTGGCCCCGCCCCCCCCCCCCACACACACACACACACACACACACACACACACACACACACACACACACACACACACACACACACACACACACACACACACACACACACACACGCACACACACACAAATGGGATTGATCAACGGGCCCTACGCCCCCCCTGGTGGTATGGGGAACGACGACAAACCGACAACGACGACAACGACGACGACGACGACGACGGCGACGGCGACGGCGACGGCGACGGCGACGGCGACGGCGACGGCGACGGCGACGGCGACGGCGACGGCGACGGCGACGACGACGACGACGACGACGACGACGACGACGACGACGACGACGTTGACGACGACGACGACGACGACGACGACGACGACGACGACGACGACGACGACGACGACACCGCAGCACCACCCCACGCCCACACGGGGGGAGGGTTGGGGGGGCATCGCGGCACCGCCCCACACCTACAGGGGTGGGCATCGGGGGGAGGAGGGGGGAGCGATCCCATTCGCATGGTGGAGTGGGGACCTTGGTACATACATCCACCGCCCCTGGCCAGGCGCATCCTGTGTCCAGGAGCCTCCCTGATCAGGCCAGGACAGCGTGTACACCGCACCTGGGCGACGCAGATACGACGGGCTCGAATGCACGGACGCTTGCGCAGGGGCGCTCTCGTTTCCAATGCAGCGCGCCGCACTGGCGGCTCGCGTGAGCCACCGTGCAAAGTCGCTGTGCCATCTCGCGTAAGAGACTTTCTCCTGTTCGTCGCTCACGTGGTCCCAGGCTTGGCCCGGGCAGGAGCAGTGGACGTGTACGGATCGCGCCGCCCTACAGGTTGCTCCAGCCCGGCTCGCCGCAGCTCAGCCGCCCGGGGACCTGCCTCACTCCGCTGACGAGGACGGCGGCGCGCGCACATTATGTTGCGTGATATCCAACATTCTTTCGGGTCGGTGTTTGAGGTCGCCGCGGCGAAAGCCGGGCTCCCTCCGATTCGATTCGGTTCGATCTCGATGGATTCCGATTCCGAGTCGATCCGATTTCGGATTCCGATTTGGGTTCCGATTTCTCCACGGAGTCTTGCCAGTCTGCCGACTTCAGCCGATTTGACTTATGCCGACTTGGCTGCCGACTTCCGCCGATCTGATCAGTTTCGATCGTCGATACGACTTGTCGATTCAATTCTGGGCTCTCCTGCGACAGCGGCGGCCACAAATCGGAGCAAGTTTTCTGACAGGGAGTGTAATTCCCCTTCCCAGCCCCCCCGCCGCTCTGCGATGTCGACGTGGCGGCTCAGAGTTAGCCATATAGCGGCGCGACAGAGAGTCGATCATTTTCGCAAGGGGTCGACTCGTGCACCCTGAGATTCCCAGATCTCCTCTTCGTCGCGGAACAATATCACGGCGTGGGGGGGGGCAGTTTCGGCTTCTGGGGGCGTTCGCCAGGGCCCAGGGCCGTCAAAGAACGGCTCGGGACGAGCAACCGGTTCCGGGGAAGGCGGTCTCGACTTCTGGGGGCTCGCTTGGCACATCAAAAAATCACGACGTCGGGGATTTCGGTCTGGGCGTCGCTGTTTGTTCCGCACCGGCATGTTCCACACCACACGGGCATGTTTCGCCCTGCTTTGCGCCCCAGGCCATGGGACCCTCCGTGATCGATCCGATTTGAGAAATGTCGGGGGCGGCCAAGATGGGGGTGATGATTCGGGAGGAATGTTAAGTCGGGCATGTCCCTCTACAGGAGGAATGTTCAAAAATAGTTTGAAAATAGTCTGGGGACGATGGTTGATCTATTTTTGATTATCCTTGAGTTTTGTTCGACTATTCTCCATTTTTCTTCGGAGATCCGCCTGTACCAGGAGGACATGCCCGACCTACGGCCAATGGGGGGGTGATGACTCGGGGGGAATGTCATGGCGGGGGCCCTTGTATCTCCCAGCTCTGATGGCCCCCTCTCTTTGCTTACGCACGTCTCCTGGCCCCCCTTCGACGCCGAGAGTGCAGCAGAGAAATGGGCCGGGGGGCTCCCAGCCGAGGAGAACAGCGTGACGTCGGGGGTCTGGGGAGAGAGGTCTGTGGGCAAGGCTTCGACAGGCCGCCGAGGCCCCCCCATGGCCAAGCCTCAGTTGAGCGACGGAGGAGAACGGGGTCGTCTTCATCAACGCTCGCGCGCAAGCTGCCCGCGTAAGGTCGCGCGCGAGCGCCCTCGTCTCCAATGTGGAGTGCCGCGCTGGCGGCCCGCGTCAGTCGCCTTCGCGCCATGCTGCAGACCCGCGGAGGAGAGTCGAAGCTGACGGGTGAGGCGTCTCGCCGCTTCTGCAGAAAAAACAACGCCATAATCACAAGCGTTTGGCGCTCCGCGTGGATTTCTTGGATCCGCGCGGGGCCCCCCTGGCGGCGCCTCTGGCGCAGAAAGACACGACCGCGTTGTTCGAGGCTGCCCAGCAGGTCAGGGCCGAGCCTTCGTGGGCCCTGCAACGACAGGGCCGTTTTTTTACCGATTCCGTTCTGCCGTTTTTTTGCCAGTTCCGACGCCCTCTTTTACCGGTGCCGTCGCCGTTTTTTGACCGGTTCTGGCTCCGGTTCCAATCCTGGAGCCGTTTTTGTTGCCGTTTCCGGTCGCTGTTTTTTTTGCCGTTTCCGTTTTCAAGGGACATTTTTCGGAAAGGGTGAAAAAACGGCCCTGCCGTTTCCGGGGCCCACAAAGGTTCGAGCTGCAGAGGAGAAACCGGTCCGAACAAGGGGGGTCCAGCGCAGATCCAAGAAGGTCGCGCGGAGCGCCCAAAAGTTTGTGTTTGTTGTTTCTTTTGTTTCTACCCTTGGGAGTCATTTGAAGGGCTTATCATTGGGCATCTTCTGCGCCTCTTGGACGGCTCTTGGAGCCTCCTGAGGGTTTGCTGGGCGCCTTCCAGCGGTCTCGGGTGCCCTTTTGGTGCGGAGGGCCCCACATGAAACTTCGACTTTCCAGGCCGTGGAGTCATGGTCAAAGTTTTTTATCCACGGCACATCGAGCGTTGAAGTTGAAGAACCCCTAACCCTACTACCAGGATGGCAACGTGGCCTCAATGAGGTCCCCGTTTTCGAATAGGGATAATAATTCTAGGCGGTTTGGTTTGACACATCTGCAGAAAAGACACCCTATCCCTAATTGTTCGACCCTCCTTAGTTCCCCTCCCAAATTGTCAGGGGTCCTTTTTTGGTTAATCAACTACTCCCACCGTAGCCGCCCCTGCCTTTGTGGCTTCCGGCCCCCTTTCAAGAGGCCCCCTACTCCTGCAGAGGCGGCCACCTCCCATCCGCCCCCTCGCCCACCGCAAATCCTCCGCGCTCCTCCTCCTCCTCCTCCTCCTCCTCCTCCTCCTCCTCCTCCTCCTCCATTCCTCCTCCTCCTCCATTCCTCCTCCTCCTCCATTCCTCCTCCTCCCCCGCTCCTCCTCCTCCTCCTCCTCCTCCTCCCTCCTCTCCTCCTCCTCCTCCTCCTCCTCCTCCTCCTCCTCCTCTATGCGTTGCGCCGGAGTTTTCCTCGCCGTGTCTGGTCCTGAAGCTTGATGAAGTTAGCAGCAGCTTCACGGAAGGAGGGCGGGCCGTTTTCAAAATGTGGTTCCCGTTTGAGCGCCGCGCAAATTTGCGTGGAAGTCTGAAGCATATTCAAGAGTGGAGGGCGGCTGGTTTTCAAAGTGTTGGTCTTGCCTTATCGACGCGCACATTCGTTTTCAAAGTTCGCCACAATTTAATGATGAGGGACGGTTCCTTTTCAAAATGTGGTTCTCGCCTTAGCGCCACGCACATTCGCTTTCAAAGGCTGCAGCAGTTTCATTGTATTCGCACGGTCGGGTGTGAATTTGGATTGCCAAGACCGAATTGCCACGTTGACTCGCGCGGCTGAAGGCCAGGAAATTGTGCTTGTGCAAGATTGAGGATGATCAAACGGTTGCCTTCGAATGGGCCACGTCCCGCAATGACCAGAAGCTCCTGCAGGGACGCGTGCAGAGGCTAGGAGGGAGGGTGTCCTGCAGCACTTGTCATCCTCCTTGGGCTACCAGTGGCCCGCCTCCTCCTCCCCCTTTATCCCTGTGCGCGCCGCCGCCGAGGGGCTCCCGCCTCTCTGCCGACGACTCCGACGAGGACGGCGGGGCGAGCACACCGATCCACCTGGACACGCTCTCCGTGCAGGACATCAGCCCCAGCGCCGACGAGTCCTGGCCTCAGGTGGCGCGGGGCGCCCACGTTACAGGCGGCTCGTGCAGACTGCCCGCGCAGGCGGCCCGCGCGGTGCGCCGCGCGGGCGGCCCGCGGGAGCCACAGCGTGAGGGCGCCGCGCCGGCCCGCGCATCATCGAGGAACAAGCAGTGGCACAAACTGGCGCAAGCATAGACTGCCAGAGGTCCGTGCTGATCTCTTGCATCGGCGCTGGAGGCTCCGCCTGGGGGCTCCGGCGCCGATCCGAGGACTCCGCGCGGACCTCCGAACGCCTACTCTTATGTCATCCTCTGTCCCTCGAGAAAGCGGCCCCGCCCCTGCGCTGCCTTAGGTTCGGGGGGGGCGGCAACGAGTGGGGTGATGACCAGGTGGGGGGAGATCTCACAGCGGGGGCCGTGATATTTCCCCCCATCTCATGGTGACTATTTCGGTGCGTCCCCGGCCGCCCCCCCTCGGGCCGCGCACGTGCCCCCGGCCATGCGCTGCGCTCCCGCCCCCCCTCTGGGACGCCCCCCTCTCGTCACCAGCCTGGTGGAGGTGGAGGAGGAGGTGGAGGAGGAGGCGGAGGACGTGGAGGAGGAGGAGGAGGAGGAGGAGGAGGAGGAGAGGAGAGGAGGAGGATGGGGAGGAGGAGGAGGGGAGGAGGAGGAGGGAGGAGGAGGAGGAGGAGGAGGAGGAGGAGGAGGGAGGAGGAGGAGGAGGAGGAGCGAGGAGGAAGGAGGAGAAGAGAGGAAGGAGCAGAGGAAGCAGGAGACAAGGAGGAGGAGGAAGGAGAGAAGGTAAGAAGGAGAATAAGCAGAGGAAGGAGGAGGAGGAGGAGGACAGGAGGAGGAGGGGGGGGGGGTCCTGGACGCCCCCGACAGGTGGGGGACTGGCGCCCGCGGCCCGACGTGCAGCGGAAGGCGGCGCAGGCCTGCGCCTCGCGCGTGCGCGAGGGCAGCCTCGGCCTGCGGCTCCTCGCCCGGGGGCCGCTGCACGACTGCCAGCTGGTGAGCCTCGTGGAGGGCCTGTCCCCCTACAGGGGGGGAATTTTCGACGAGAAACCAAAAATACCCACCAAAAAATACCCCAGAAAGGCAAGAAAATACCCCAGAAATAGTCCCCTGACAACTTTTGGATTATTTGTTGATTATTTTTGGTGCATTTTTACAATCAAAATAAAAAAAAAAGAAATCTTCGAAAATCCCCCTGCAGGGGGACAGGCCCGACTTAAAAGGTGAGCCTCGTGGAGGGCCTGCCCGCGGACGGCCTCTGGGCGCTGGCGGTCCACGTGGAGCAGCCGCGCCCCCGCGCCGACGAGCACGGGCAGCTGCGGGAGCTGGGGCCCCGAGGCGCGGAGTCGCAGAGGAGGGAAGGGCACCGCTCGGGCCGGACGAAAGGGGGGGAATGGGAAAGGGGGGGGGGGGTACGAAATTTGCTGCATGCAGCTGGTTTCGGCCCCACCGAGGGGCCCATTCCTCGATACACAGTCGCCTCCGGCGCCGGGAGGCGCCAGGAAAATCAGCTACGTGAGCTGATTCTCAAACCCCCCCTTTGCTATCCCCCCCTTTCGCCCGACCCGAACCGTCACCGCCACCCTGCCTTTCTGTTTTGCTCCCCCAGGTTTAGGCATCCTGGGAGGCCCACGTCGCCATCTCTGGATTCGCCTCCGAGTTCCCGTCAGATCGCACCCCAGGAGAGGGCCGGTGAGCAGCGGTATCGGTACTAGTTGTGGCAACCTTGCGGCAGAAGATTATGATCGCTTTTTCATTGGGGCCCAGAAGTTTTCTTGGCCTTATTGTTAGTGCTACCACTAACAACTTGCGATACTAATATCACGAACTACCAGCAGGAGTAACACGAATTGCACACATGCGAAAGACTACATCGCAGGCTGTCTTCTATTACGAATATGCGTCCTCTTACCATTACTAGTTAATGCATGTATCGTTATGTGGCCTGTGCGTTCTCGTATACGAAGTAATCTAGATATCGTGCTTGAGTGGCAATGAAGGCAACGTCTTTGTGCCGCCACTGGCATCATCACAGCATGGCCGCTTATTAAGGAGTCATTAGTTAAGAACCCTCTCCTGAGCAGTTCTGAATGGGGACTCCTCAGTATGGAACCTTGATTGAAGAATCATGCAACACTGCCTTCGTGAAATACGTCGTTACTGAAAACTCCTTCGTGGAAAGCCTCCTTATTGAGGAACCCGTGCTAAAACATACACGGACATGAATGGCATATTCAGAGCGACAACGCAAACGATGCTGGAAGGTCATGAGTGGAACTGGCCTACCATGGCGAAGATGGTGGACTCGTGTCGGGGTGTAGCAAGTTGCGCGGGCGCGGCGAAAGTGGCGATCGCGCAGGGGAGGTTTGGCAACCATGGGGGACTTGGATGGCGCATCGGAACAGTGGGTGCGGGGAAGGATCGGTTGTCACGGGGGAGATGGCAAGGACATGGGGACTGCAGGAAGGCACGGGGAAAAAAAACGCAGGGGGGGAAATGGCATGGGGGAATTCAACTGGACATGGGAGAGGTCGATAGGACACGTTAAAGCTCGGGGGCTTGGAAGGCAATTTCCTTATTTTTTATTGTATTTCTCCCCCTTGTTATTTTTTTCTCTTTTTTTTTTTTTTTCTTTTTTTGTCTTTTTTGTTTTTTTAGTTTTCTTTTTTTTGTTTTCGTTTTTTTGTTTTTTTTGATTTTTCCTTATTTTTTTTTTCAATTCCACTTTTTTTTTTTCGTCTTTTTTTTTTTTTTTGTTTACTTTTTTTTTTTTGTTGTGTTTTTGGTTTTTCTTGTTTTTTTTTTTTTGTCTTTGTTTTTTTTTCTTTTTTATTCTTTTTTTATTTTTTGTTTATTCTTCTTTCTCCTTCTTTCGTTTTTTTATCTCCTTTCTTTTTTGTCATTTTTTCCTTATTGTTTTGTTTTACCTTTTTTATGGTGGCCACATGGCGCCGCCTTGGAGCGGTCGTGGGGCCTCTTGGAGGCATCCAGGAAGCTACCACCCTGCTTCTGCATGCCACCCATGCCAACGCACGAGCCCCGCCATGACCACCTGACCTCCACTTCGAAAAGCGCCAGATATGTCCAGCGAAGGCATGCGTGATGAATGGTCCGTGGATCTCAACAAGAAAGGGTGCTTCGTTAGACATCCATCCGTTGCAAACATGCCTAATTGACAAACCCTTACTTGGAAATCCTTAACAACGAATTTTTCCTATTGACTCCGTTTTGAGTTTCTGCATGAGATCAGTATTCAGGGCCAGTGCTACATAATCCTCAGAGAAGAATCCATACCACATAATCTCCATCGGGCAATATTGTCGAAATAATCGTTACTGAAGCATCATACACTCGAAAATCATTCGCTTAGGGATATTCGCCAACAAAAACATTCACAATACATCCAGGGTGAAGAGTCCTGATGTAAACTGATGAATAAAGAATCCTCCTCGCAGACTCATCACCAACAAATCTGGCGCTCCGAATCCAGAGCTCCCCAGCCGAGGCTCCAATTCCTTTTGACAAAAAGCAACCAACGCAAACACTCTTATGAGGATTCCAAAAAAAGTCGGATCTCAGTCGGCACGGAGAGCTGCCGGCCCGGGAGCCCAGAGTGATTACAAAGCCATGGAGCAAGCAAACGTGTCAGGATGCCTAAGCCACGCGAACACAACGACAGGCATTCCGAAACTTATTCTGCGTGCGGGCCCCCGGCCTGAGAGTCCAACATGGTGTGGCAAATCATTGGGAAGCAACACGAACAAAACACCACACGAGAAGTGTCGCAATTTGGTCGGCGTGGGAATCGTCGAAGTGGGAAACCAGAATCTGCGATCAAGCTCCGTAAACATAAGTTGCTTGTGTTTGTGAGGTCCTCACATGGTTTGACGTGTTGTGTTGTTCCACTCGCCCAACAATATTCCAATTGCGTTGGATCCCCAGCCCCAGGAGCCCGAGCCCGATTGAGTTCGGAAAGTGTGTTTTTGTTTGTTCTGTAACCCTCGCAGGGATTGATTCGATTTGTTTGGGTCGTATTGGTTTGTCAATGGTTTTGGTATTGACATCTCCGACTGTTTTTCCTGTCCTCCTCCTACCCCTCCTCCTTTTCATCGTCCCTCTCGCTTGTGAGGTTCACACAAGCGTGGCAGTGAAACAAAACAGCAAACAAGCAACGGCAACCATAAGACCAACAGCGGCGCAGCTAACAAGCACCACAGCCAGTATAACACAGCAGCGCGGAAGCACTGCCCACAGCAAGGTAGCACACACAGCCATCAGCAACTACCGCGACTAACGACCACTGGCCAGGTAAAACAATCACCTGGGTTGCAGGATAAAGCGTTAACCCCCGGCTATGTCTATTCAATCGGACATAGTAGGGTGCAACCAGGGGAAACGTAATTCTAATGTTTTTTAGTCGGGTCCTCCTGTATGGAGTCGGAGCAGCGCTCCAGCCGCGGCGTTCATCAGATTGCCCTGCGGGAGCCCTTTCGGAGTCCTTGAATGGCCCTGTGAGTTCTTGGTGAACCTTTGCAGATCCAGGTGGGATTCTGGAGCATCTAGACGGATATCTCTTCATGGTTCCCGTGCTGGTAGTTTGTCGTCCGGATTCTTCAGGGTTCAAGTCCTCAAGATTCCAGAGGAATTCTCCAGAAGCTTCATGATCCCGCAGACACCCTTGGGGCTTCCCTGGCTTCCCATTTCCCTCGCGTCGCGGGGAGGGGGGGGTCCCCCGTCAGGGTGCTTGGTGACTCAGGATTCCTCAGGGTTCCTCTGGATTCTCCCGGGTGTCCGAGGGTTTTTCAGGATCCCCTTTATGGTTCATCCGTATTCCTGTGGATTTCTCGGGGTTCCCGAGGGGTCTTCAGGATTTTGCTGGGTTTCCGCAGTACTCGTATCAGGGATCTCACAGGATCCTTGAACAATCTGGGCAAACCTGAAAAGTCTGGGTGAGCCCTGAGGCAGTCCGAGGTATCTTGACAAGGGAACTTCTGGACCCTACAGAATCCGTGAAGACTCCCAAGTCAGCGCTGCGATTGCCCAAGCCTTGCGGGCTCCTGGGTGGGCCTCAGTTTTGTTGTTGCGTGCGTGCGGTAGCTTCAATCGGGTTTGTGTTAGGGCCGCCCCACGGGCTGTAGCGGCTCTATGAGCAACGGGCAATTCGAGGCTTCATTTGTGTTGTGTTTGCCTTGCGCGCGTATTGCATTGCTGTGTGCATGTGTTGTGTGTTGTTATTGTATGGCACGCGCATGGTTCTTGATTGCATTCGTATTGTACCCGTACTGTGCCGAAAGCCGTCCTGAACCCGATGGTGAGACCCTTTACACCGTACACTTGATTTTCATGTGTACACAGGTAACGTTCAACTCTATTACTATAAGTATGTTTGATACTACAACAGCAGTAGCACCTACGACTACTACTACTACTACTACTACTACTACTACTGCGACTACTGCTACTACTACTACTACTACTACTACTACTACGAGTACTGCTACTACTACTACTACTACTACTACTACTGCTGCTGCTGCTGCTGCTACTACTACTGCTACTGCTACTACTACTACTACTACTACTACTACTACTACTACGACTGCTGCTACTACTACTACTACTACTACTACTACTGATACTACTACCACTACTACTACTACTACTACTACTACTACTACTATACTTACTACTACTACTGCTCTACTACCTAATACGAATTCATTACTACTACTACTACTACTACGACTACTACGTACCTGGCCACTACTACTTACTACTACTTACTACTATAACTACACTACGACTACTACTAATACTACTAATACTAATCCTACCACATACATACTGTTATTACTATTCACTACTGCACTTATACTTACTACTACCGCTACAAAACTTGCTATACTACTAGGGTACCAATAGTACTATACTACACTTTCCACTACCACTTACTACTTTTCTACTACGACTACTACCATCCCTTTACGAGACTACTAATACTACTACATACTGGTGCATTCTCATACTTACTACGACTACGACTACCATTACTACTACCATGACTACTACTACTACTACTACTACTACTACTACTACTACTACTACTACTACTACTACTACTACTACTACTACTACTACTACTACCACTACGACTACTACTACTACGACTACTACTACTACTACTACTACCTTTACTACTACTACTACGACTACTACTGCTACGACTACTACTACTACTACGACTACTACTATTTCGACTACGACTACTACTACTACTACTACTACTACTACTACTACTATTACTACTACTACTACTACTACTACTACTACTACTACTACGACGACTACCAGTACCACAACTACAACGACTAGTATAATTATTATTACTACTACTACTACGACTACCCCTACCTGTACTACTACTATTACTACTACTACTACTACTACTACTACTACTACGACTACTACTACTACTACTACTACCACTACTACTACTACTACTATTATTATTATTACTACTACTACTACTACGACTACTACGACTACGAGTATTACTTCTATAGCTGATAGTTCTGCTACTGCTACAACTACTACTCCTCCTACTGCTGCTACTACTACTACTACGACTACCACCAGTACTACTGCTGCTACTACTACTACTACTACGACTAGTACTAATACTACTACTACTATTACTACTACTACTACTACTACTACTACTACTACTAACCACAACAATAGTAATACTGCTACTGCGACTAAGCGACGACGACGATCGACATCGACGCCAGCGACGACGACGATGACGATTACGACGACGACGACGACTACGACGGCGACTGCTACTGTTATATTTACCACTACCATCATCACCACGACTACAATCTCGACGACTGCAACCATCACCACCGCTACTACGACGAGTAATCACACGTACGAAAAGGATCACACGACAACAGATGCGAATACGAATGCTAATACTTGCACTTGCATTTGCAATCGTAAGACAGGTACCACTGTTACGTCGAATGCGACGGCTTCCGCTAGCAGTACTGGTAATCACGCGGGCTCCAATCTTAATATTCGTAGTACGTTAGCAAAAGCGAATAGTTTCAGTAATGCGGCTACTTGAAGTAGTTCGGATCCGAAAATACTCGTTGAGACTGGTAGGCCAGCATGAACACTTGGTACAACTTGGGAAACAACGACCAATGCGTATACGAACGTTATCGTTTCTATTCCTATGGACCTTGTGACATTCAGACATACCTATGGAAAGGCAAATTCGTGTGAGGAGGGGACGCAGTAGCTTGTCCCGAATCTTGTGTCGAGCCCATCCTCAACGCAACTGCAAGAGTGCAACACCTCAGCCCTGTGCTTATCGTCTCCGTGTTTCCCCTCCTCTTCCCCATGCAGACTGGATGGGGGGTGGCGGGGGAGTGCGACGAGGAGGGCTCGAGATGAAGAGGGAGTTGCACGTGGAGAACGAGAGGGGCGGGGGGATGGGTGGAACGAACACGAATACATGGGGGAGTACAGCGGGCCTGCCGTGGTCAAGCGGGGGCTGCGTAGAACTCTATCGGTATTCGGACGTGTGGAAAGGAAAGGAAAACGAAAGGAACGGAACAGGAAAAGGAAAGGAAAGGAACATGGGGGCATCTTCCTCGGAAAAGGGAGAGCGCGTTATGTATGGAACTGGTACAGTGGGAAAAGCGCGACTCCGGATAAGGTATTCGCGTAGCCCGCGCCGTCCAGCAAGTTTTCCTTGGACTGGGGGGGGGAGTTGTACTCGGAAGACAGAAAGGGTCGGGAGGGCACGCATTCTGAAGGACAACACGGTTTGCTCACAGCCCGCTCGGGCTTACACGGTGATTTTGTTTCTTTGGGGGTGGAAACACACTTCCCCGCGAGGGGGCACGAAACCAAATGAATAGTATGGTGAGGTAATATTTTGCCCGTTCTCGCGAGCCCTCGCTGGACAGGCTTGAGCGGCAGTATACTTAGTAAACAGTATGGTGTGCGAATACCAGGCCCGCTCTGGTCTCTCGTGGTGCCTCCATGGAGGGATGGGAAAGGGCACGACATCGTGTAAATCTGGCTGCTCTGATACGCACGTTTTGAAACGTAACACGTGCCGTGTTCAAAACGTTCGTGTTCAAAACGTACGTGTTCAGTCTACGTGTTGAGCTCCGTATCAATACGCTACGTGTTGCGTGCCGCGTATCGGGGCAGCTATGCTTGTACATTGCGCGGTCTGCGAACACCCCGCCCGCTCTGGCGGGACATCGATCTCTGGAGGGGTGGGTGGGGCACGAAACCTCGAACGACGAACGACGACGACGACGACGACGACGACGACGTCGAAAGACGACGTCGAAAGACGAATGACGACGGCGATCCCCCCGAGGCGACGTCCACCGCCAGCCGCGGGGCGGGCCCCCCGAGCAGAGCCCCACCCGGGAGGGGCGCGCCGAGCGGGAGCGGGCCGCGGACGCGCTGGCCGCGCCGGCGGCGCCGAGCAAGCGGCCGTGGGCGCTGCTCGTGGTGGGCCTGCCGGGCGGGCGGCGAGCGGGGGCCGTCGGGGGCGCCCCGTCGAGGGCCGCGCGCCTCTCGCGGAGAGCCGACCCGCGGAGCGCGGGGGGGGGAGCCCGTGCTTTCTTCCGAGGGGGCGCCCGGGAGCGGTGGCCTTGTTCGGCGGCGAGCGGGGGGGGAGATGAGGAGGAGAAGGCCTCCTCAGAAGGCGGCGGGGCTCCTCAGAAGCCCTCGCGCCTTCTGAGAGGTTTTTTCTGTTTTCGGGGAAGGCTCGGAGAACTTTTCAGAAGTCCAGTGAGGGCCAGGGTTTGAGGAGGAGGGCGGAGCCCAGGCAGAGGCGGAGGGTTCCAGGATGGGTGGCGCGCTTTGCGCTGCGCGGGTCGGCTCCGGGTCCTCCCCGTCCGCCTTCTCCCCCCTCTGGGGGGGGGGGGCGGCGCGGGGGCGCGCCGCGATCCGCGCGCGCGCTTCGCGCAGCGCGGAGGCGCGAGGTTGGGGCACACAGCTCGAGGGCGCGAGGCTGGTCGCGTTTCCTCGGCATCGCTCGGAGGTGCGCATTTCTGTTTCGGCGTGGGCCGGCGATGGCCACCATGAAGCATCTCGCAGCGAGGCGCACGCACGCACGCGACCAAGAAGCACACGGGGGCCGGACGCCCGAGCGGTGGCAAGTTTCGCGCCTCGCGGGTCGGCTCCCGGGTTCCTTCTCGGCGCGGGCGCGTGAAGGCGACTCGCGCCTCGCGCTGCGCGTTCAGCGCGAATTTGGGCGCCCTTGTAGGGGGCCGCATGCGAACCCTGCCCCTACACCCCCCACGATGTCTGAGGGGGAGGGTGGGGTTCACTTCGTTCGGGAGCTCACAAGCGAAGTGAGCCCCACCCTCCCCCCCAGAAATCGTGGGGGAGTAGGGGTAGGGTTCGCATGCGGCCCCCTACCTTGGAAGAGGGGGAGCTGGGATGGAGGAAAGGGCCTCTTCGGCAGGCGGCGGGTTTCCGCCGAGGGCCTCGCGCCTTCTGAGAGCTGCTCCGCGTCTTCGGGGAAGGCTTGGAAGAAGCTCCCCTGAAGGCCACGGGGTTTCCGAGCTCTCTGAAGAGGCCCGCCCCTTCTCACCTCCCCCCTCGCTCGCCGCCGATCTTCGGGGGGCCTCGTCTGGGAGCCGCCTGGGGGTCTGAGGTGACCAAGCACCAGTGACGGCTAGCAGGAATGGCGGACAGGTTCGGGGCTCGGGGTTCAAGGTGTGTTTCCCTTTTCGGGTCTCCCCCAGCGTGGGTTCGGCGCGGGTTCGTGGTGGATTCGACGTGGATCCGGCACGGATCCGACAGGGATTCGGCACGAATTCGACGCGTTCGAGATGGATTCGACACGGATGCGACACGGATGGTTGGCCCGATGGGACAGACAAGGCCCCCCAAAGATGCAACATCAGGTGGGCGGCCCGTATTCTGGGAAGACCACGCTGGTGGACGGCACCCGGGAGAGGAAGTCCAGATTTTGTAGGATACAACTCCTGGGAGGTTAGATTGAGAACCGGCGCCGGTATGCATCCCTGGTCGAACACTGACCGAATCTGGCCTGGTCCCGCAATGTTCGGCTTCATCCCGCCGAATCCGGTTTAGTTCCGCTCAGTCCTGGGCTTGCACTGGCCCAGTCCAGCGCAATAGCCTTCCAATCGGGGCTGATAACCCTTCTTCGCTCTGACGCAGGCCCGCCAGGAGTTGCCTCCTGACCCAGACCCCTCGCGTCGCCAAGAGCAACGGCGGGCGGCCGTCTGCCGTTTTTGGCCTGTGGGTGCCCTCGCAGGGCCCCGTCGAAGAGCGGCTCGAGACAGAAAAAGGCGGTCCTTCGGTGGCGAATCGTGGGAGCGTGGTGTACCCTCCCAATTCCGTCTTTAGCGTCGGCTAGCGTCGATTAACGTTTGGGGGTCGATGGGATAGCGCCGGTCTAGCGTCGTCTAGCGTCGACCAGCGTCGGTTTAGCATCAATTAGCGTCGATTCAGCGTCGACGAGCGTCGAGTCGCAGGAGCCGACACGATGGCATGGGAGGCTCCCATGGGTTGCCACCGAACGGTCCCTGAGAATGGGTCGAGACCTTTGGGGGGCGAGGTGGCGAAAAAAAGGTGACGCGTCGGGGGTCTGAGAAAAAGGCACCGACACCGCGACTCGGCTTGGGAGTAGCGGTGTGGGCGCCGTCGTCGTCGTCGTCGTCGTCGTCGTCGTCGTCGCTGTCCGCATCGTCATCGTCTCCGTCGTCGTCGTCGTCGTCGTCGTCGTCGTCGTCGTCGCTGTCCGCGTCGTCATCGTCTCCGTCGTCGTCGTCGTCGCCTTCGCCGTCGCCGTCGCCGTCGCCGTCACTGAGAGAAAGGCACCGGTACCGCGGCGCGTCCCGGAGAGCTCTCGCCGCCGCACAGCTGGATATTCCCTTCGAAGTTATGGTCAGAGTGCACCCTGGGAGAATTCCGGGGAGAAGCGTTAAGTCGGGTACGTCCTTCTACAGAAGGACAATTTGAGAATAGGAAAAATCAGCATGGGGACAATTTTTCGTTGATGTCTTACTATATTTGCGCGTTGTCTTACTATTCTTCGCTTTCTTCCAGAAATGCCCGGCCTAAGAGCAGCGGTGTGGGCGCCGTCGCCGTCGTCGTCGTCGTCGTCACCGTCGTCGTCATCCTCGTCGCCGCCGTCGTCGTCGTCGTCGTCCTCGTCGTCGTCGGTACGTGTGCCCCGCTTGGCCCCCCAGGCCTGCTCGAGAGGGGCGTGGTCCCGAGGGAGGCCGCCAGGCTGAACAGGGAGGCCGCGCTCTCCCACATGCGGGCGCGGAAGGGCGACGGGCGCCAGGACGAGGCTCGTCGGACGACGTCGTCGTCGTCCGCGCGGTCGTCGTTGTCCGCGTCGGCGTCGTCGTCGCCGTCCTCATCGTCCTCCTCGTCGCCCGACGACGACGGCGG